GGTGGGCCACTTGTAGACCCCATTTTCCTTTCAACTCACATTTTAAAACAGGAGGTGGATTCCAGCCTCTGTTCTCAGTGCACTGTTTGTTAGGTAATAAGCCTTTAGTAGTTTCCTATTTCCAAGTTCCTGCCTGCCTTGCAATGTTCCTGTCTCATTTTCCACCACTGCCCAAATGGACAGAGGAGCCAGGCCCATGAAATTATGTCTGATTCTAAAGCCTGTATCTTTTCCCTAAGACATAGGACTTTAGTCTCTTTCAGCATTCTATAGCATACTGGCCTTAAGGATATATTTTCTTACTTTGAGACACTGTGAGCTCAGGAAGTGCAAACCACTTTTGCTAAGCAAAATATGTAAATCTGCTATAAAATGAGCTGATTATAACTTAGACTTTGCTAGAACTCAAGGTCTTTGAAGGAGTACCTCGCAAAGACCTTGGCCAGAGCAGACTCCTACATAACTACTGAATTAATTAATTCTCTGACTGAAATGGCCTATTTACGTTAGTCCCAACATTTCCCCCTCCATTAGTGTAAAGGATTATTTACTGCAGCTTCAAGAAATCCCTATAAACACAAAAAAGGATGCTGCATAAGAAAATCAACTTTCAAAATTCCCAAGGACACTCTCATATTACTGCTCTGCTAAATCATGCACTGTCAACAGACACCATGACCAGCTACAGAGCCTGGGTGAGATTCTCCCCAAGGGCAAGAGCACCCAGAAAACCACTCCATTAATAGAAGCCGTTATAACAGATCCTGAAAAGGAGTTACAAGGTTGGGCACCTAACAAATCATCAAGCAATCTTCTATCTTTCACAAACACTAAGAAAAATATTAAAGGCCAAATCTACATTTTTAAAACCTCCACTGACAGTATAAACCCAGATGATACTAATATGTGCATACTGGAGACACATGAAGCTAGACTTCTGCTATCTATAGCTGCTGTTTTGGGAGATGTGATTTGAAATCTACATTCTGGCAAAAGGCGAGCCATGTTATAACAGTGACTACTGAATGGAATACACTTTCATAACTCCCCATACTATACTCCTCTTTGTTTTCCTTAAAACAGTTTTTTTTTTTTTTTTTGGTGCCTGGGATCAAACTCAGGACCTCGAGCTTGTGAGGTTGAGACTCGGGCACCACTGAGCTAAATCCCCAGTCCAACATTTCATTTTTTAAAATTAGCAAAGCTAAGTGTTTTAGGCCAGTATTTTAGACTTACGTTTTAGTTTGTCCATTTCCTGGGGCCAAGTAATTTTTTTAAAAAAGTATTTGGAAGCACGCTACTGCAGTAGCCATATGTAGTGGTAGCCACCCATTTCTGAATAGTCCTCTAGCCTCATATATTCATTCTCAAAAGCCAGGGGTATGCATACGAAGATGCAGAGGGCAGAGAGCCAGTTAATAAATCTCATTTCCCATCCACATCTGCATAGAACAGAGCTACAGGGAGCATCCTCTCTAGGGAGACCCAGAGCACAATTCACGCACTCTGAATTAAACAGTATCACCTCAAATGGCCCCCTCACCATATGTATCTTTTTAAGCAGTTCTTAAAATATATGGATTTCTAGTGCCCCTAAATGTGGCAAGGAAGCTGAGGCTGAGGAAGCAATCACATAAGAGTGGACATGAGCCGTGGAGATGTGGCTTCCCAGAGCCATTTTTGTACTTGCTTGTTTGAACTGAAATTACTAATCTACAGGAAGCTTGCTTTGCTAATCAAAGTGCACACTACTTTCAATAATGATTTACCACCTATTCTACTCCAGGTTGTGAAAATGGGCTCTGTTTACACTAACAGATACCTGGGTCACGATATCTGGGTCAGGAGTGACAGATGTCTTTTATTTGTGAACAATCTGGTGCAAATGGTATAAAAATAGAAGAGTGACTATTTGCCCCTTAGCTGTGCTGCATGGTCCTATTATCTAGGTGTCCACTCCTCCTAGTACCTGCACTGGAGGCATGGCACAGAGTTCCAACAGAGTACCTTTCCAGTAACAACTGCATTCTTGTATTTACATTGTTCTTTAAAGAATTTGATTTACATGGTTTTAATTTTTATTTTTTGATGTGTTAGAGATGGATTTCAGGGCCTTACATGTGCTAGGCAAGTACTCTACCTCTGAATTATATCCCCATCCCAGATACCATTTGTTTTAAATGTTTGAAGTTAACCTCACAATATCTCTGTATGAATGGGACCAGATATCTTTATGCCTAACTAGCAAAGGTAGAAAATAAAGCCTCAGATAAAGGGTTTTCTGGGTTCCTATTACAATGGAATTGCGTCTGGCCTTGCCAAGGTCCTGGGCTCACCCAGGGTCCCACGGGACTCCACACAGAACTTCCAAGCACATCTCATTGTTGAGGCTATCCCAAGCTTACAGCCAATGTCAAACTTTTACTTGGTTAAACCTCTACTGAGCTTTCAAACTGCCTTCCAAGTTTCCTTAACAATTAAATGGCTATCTTATTCCAGTCTTGGGATGCCAAAATAATGATGGAACATTTCCGGAAAGAAAAATGTGTCACATTTTTCCTTTCCCTGTGTCTCTTCAGAAAAAAAAAAAAAAAAAAGTGGTAGTCGCCTTACATTGGTCATCCACTTTGAAAGAGAAGCAGACTAGTGTGTCTGTTTCCAAGTGCATCCTCTGTATAATGCAAGACAAATCCAATCTTGGAGGCCTCTTTCTTTCCTTCTCCTATGACACCTCTCACTATAGTATCTACTAGTCCTATATAAAAAATACCAACGCAAAGATGCTCTCAGTGACTTAAGAATCTGTTCTGTCAGATCATTATTCAAATTCAGTTTTGCTTTTTATATAATCTCAGGTAGTATTATAGGGACTCAGAAAGCAAACTGGAAATAATTCAGAAAATGAAAATAGTAATTTAGATCAAATTAAAGAAGCAAATAAAATTTTATTTTAAAACAATAATTTATCATGAGAAGGTAACATTTAACCTGTTAAATTATTTTTCATTGCCATTTCAAGTGGGTTCAAACGAGTAATGAAACCCAACCGGGAAACCTCCTTTGGCTTATGTGGTAAAATCTGAACTCCATCCTAAAAGTAACTGCTACATAGTATGAATAGTACATAGTATGAATTAAATCACTTAGGAAATGAGAGTTTCAAAGGTATTACTTCTAAGAATGGTTGAAATAAACGAAGTTCAAAAGCAAATCAAATTTTTTCTTCTTAAATTCTATTTTTAAGTTTTGGGATGTTCACAGAGCACAAAGGTAGAGGAGTAATGAGAGGAGGGGCCGGAATTTCTAATATAGGGTCTTCTAACAAAGAATCCCAGAAGTTGTGGGTCAATTTTGGTTTACATTAAGAGAATAACAAGTACTTGAAATCTCTAAGGATGCCATGTCAACACATTTGTTGGAACCATACCGCATGAGATTTTGGTAACCTCACGGGCACAGCCAAAATTAACTCCAAGTATTTATGTAACTGCCAGGGATGACAGGGCAAAGATTGCTTATAATGTTTTTTTAAGTCAATAATCAATGTGTGCCTTTGGTCAAAGAGAAAGGAAGCAGGATACTTTTGGTCCTATTTTATCATATGCAACATTTATACACACAAAATAGTCTGCTCATAATACCACCTGAATGTTTGGATGAAGGCTTTCAAAAACGTGTTATTTCCTGTTGCTTACTAGCTGAAAGGATGCGCTTTAGCTTTAGTGGTATGTGTGCTCGGCTTCAAAGCAAAAGCATTGTTGGTGGTTATCAAGGTAACATTTAAAAATAACTACCCCATCCTTGGGGGGGGCAGAAAAATGGAAGCAAAGCTTTTGTAAATAGGAGGGGAAGAAGGGTTGAAGGGAGGGGAGGGAAAAGGAAAAAAAGCAGCAGCAAAATATATGCTGTACAAAAATTCCCTGTGATGAATGTTATCATTATGCATATCTAAAATGTACCCATAAAAAGGAACTATGCTGACAATTAAAAAGAGAAAGAAATAAAAATACCCCAGCACAAAAGAACTTCAGAGGAAATGTGATCGAATCTATCAGTCTAAGTCTGGCCTTGAGCTGCCTAAGACACTAGCTGCATTCTCCATTACATTGTTATCCTTATCAAACAATGCAAACAATTTTAATGAGCTTATCTACGGGAACATATTGCCAGATACGTTAATGTAAAAATGATGCCAACCACACAGGCCAACTCATTAATCAAAAGGCGCACAATGCAATGACCAAGATCATTCCCATCCTCAAATCAGACCTCAACAAAATACCAGGAATTACCTTCCTACTGTAAATAAGAAGGGCTCCTCCACCCATGCGGAGGCAATAAACTCCTAAGAAAATGCATAACAGCACCAATTTTTTCCAGGTCCATTACAGTCCACCTCTTTCTTTAAAAAAACCCAGGGTTCAAAGGAGAAAATTTTGGTTTATGTCTGACACTGTGACCTTTGCTGTCAACCCTTGCACCAGTCAGCATGCGGATTTTTTACAAAGCTCCATCAATCTGGCGGTTTAACATCACAGACTGCAGCTTAATCTAGAGGATTCCATCTTTCCCGCACGCTCTCCAGGTTGAGTGCAAACGCTTTCCTCCCCATCCTCCCATCTGTTTTCTCTCCCTTTAGGCGTAGCTACCTAATGGCCCCTTTAAAATCGAAAAGGGAAAGGAGAAAAGGAAGTGCTACAGCCAGTCTCTCTTTGGAAGGGGGAGAAAATAGCATGCATTTTTATCAATGTGGAAGGAAAGAGATGGAGGGAGACCTTTTGCAGGCAGCAAACCTAGTCACAAAATGCTTTTCATCTGCAATCGTGAAGCCTCAATGCATCCCCAACGTGACGCATGGAAACAGCAAATAACCACGCCAGCTTCCACAAATGCACGCCTGTAGCCCGGGTCCGGGCAGTGTCTGCTGCATTATATAACGGGGCGGACTTCCGCGCGTCCCCGCCACCGTCCCGGCCGGCGCCCCGTGCCAGCACCATTACCTGTAGGATCGCTCCCCGCGCACTGTGTGCTTCCGGAAAGGAATGATGGTCCCGTTATCCTGGATGATGTCGTTGTTGTTCTCGCCATTTGGGGACAGGGTTTGGGTCGGCCCAGGCATTGGCGCACTCCCGAGAAAGGGAATAAACCGCTGTCGGCTGGCTGGTGAGGAAGGTGGCTGCGTCTTGCTGCTGCTCGCCTGCTCGCAGGGACCGCGCCTACCGCCTGCTTGCTAGCCGCTGCCGCCTTCTCCTTACTCGGCTCCCGCCCCGCCCCACCCTGCCGGGTCCCGCCCTCCCGGCTGCTGACGTCAGAGCGCCCGGCAGCACACAGGTCACGTGGCCAGCCCGTCACCATAGCAACCCGCTAACTCATCACCTCGCCTCAATTCACACAGGGCCGCGGCGTGACCACGCCGGCGGTTCCAGGCGGGCACCGAGCAGGCCTACATCTGGCATGTAAAACCCCAGGCCACCCCGTAGCCCCCCTCGTAGACTAGCCTTGTCTGAAAACCAGCTCTTCCTCTAACCATTTCCTTTCCGACCCGTGCTCCAACTGCAGCTGTGTACACAAAAGAAGGATTCATGGAAAGGGGCGTGGGAGACCCTTTTAACTCCTTGCATACCAAGTTCCATGCCATGAAAATTAATCTTGGACATTTTTGGGGAAAAAAATCTAAAAAGATCTGGTGGCCAGTTTCTACAAAAGATGCCTGATTAAAGGTGTTAAAATGTCTAGCTTCCTCCTTTACTCTCCAAAGCAGCAACCGCTTCCTCAATAGAAGGAAAAATAAATAAATAATACAAAACACCTAGGAGGAGGCTGTCTTTTCTTCTAATCAATGTATAGCCTTTCCTTTAATAACGTGAGGATTTAAGATTGCAAATTAAGAGATCTTTTGTATAGAAGAGTCACCAAAAAATGTGTTTTTCAAAAAAAAAAAAAAAAAACCCACCATTTTGGAGTGTCAGTTACCCATGACCCTCCAATTCAAATTCTCTATATTGCTTCCTGATACAGATCATTGATTCCTCGTCATCTATTTTATTTCCATATGAATAACAAGTGACCACCTCATATAGTATTTGGAAGTCTCAACATTCAAGTTGTTCTCTATCACTGCAGTTTTCAAACACAATGGTTGTGAGTCAAGTGTTATTAATATCATCCCCATTTAGAAATGAGTAAACTAGATGGTTTAAATTATTAAAGGTCTCACAGGTAGGAAATGGTAAATAAGACAATGGCACAATGATGTGCACTCAAACTGTACTGATTAAGATGAGAATCAAATACTTTAGCTATGCTCCCAATATGACCACTGTGAAAAGATGACTGTAAATACAATTGCACACATAGTAAAATCTGTGGATTAGATTTTTACATTCTCTACAGACACCAAATGCGTCCAGTACTGTCCTCCAGAAAGAAAAGAGTTTGAAGGATTCTCTACTTATCAGAAGTGACCTCTAAACTTTCATGAGATGGGACAGAAAGAGTTGGGGTATAAAAGACACAGTATAAATACATGTGACAGAAAGTACTAGGCTATGGCTCACTCCCATTATTGTATAGTTTATCAGCTTCATCATTCTGTGATACAGATATTAAAAACAAGTAAAAACTCTGTCATTCCTGACAACTCTTCAGCATATGTCCCTGGTTATAAGTTATTTCTGGTATCAAGCTTCTGGAATTGGAATCAAATGTTCACAACCCAGATGGTAATGATAATCTCAAACAAGGGGTCCTCTTCTTCTATTTTATACTCTCCTTTTGGGCTATTATTTTCTTTAAAATAATAATAATAATAATAATAATAATAATAATAATAATATTTTCTGCTTCTATTGTTAGTTCCCTGTGTACAAGTGATTCCTCTGTTCACATCTTGATTTATATGACACTTTTTTCTCATATAATGTGTCCAGTTCTGACCTATGACTTACAAGGTACACAGATAAATATCTAAGAAATACACAGCAAGCTTCACATTGCACAATGAAGTAAAGGGACATAACAGGTAGCTGCTGCTACAAAGACCTATGCTTTCTCTTACTATTTCTTGACCCACTGCCGTCAATGTTCTTACTGATTTGTTCCCTTTCACAAAAGGCTCTCTTTAAGGGGTGGTAGTCTGAAGTTGAAAGGCACAGTCTAAAATCAAATATTCAATATTTTTAGAGTATGGTCTCACATTTGGGGGTTCTTTAGAACAGCTTCTTTTCCCATGATCATTCCATATTTAACCAATATGTTAGACATGGTTGGTTTTATCATGAAGACTAAATTGGTCAAGTTTGAATGTATAGCTCGTTAATTATATCAACTCATTTGTGGAACAAATACTCCCACTTTTTTTCTAGGTTGCTCATGAAGGAGGGGAAGATGGCCAAGAATTTGGTTAATGGGCTTACAGGGGAGGGGTAGTGAGTCAGGTGAAGGAGGTGTCTAGGAGCCCTTGTAAATCTTCCTCTTTGAGCTCTCTGAGCCACACTACTATAAAGGGAGCTGGAGAACTCTTGAGACCAGTGATTACCCTCTGAGATGCAGGGGTAACAGGGGTAATAATTTGAAAATATTAAACAGATGTGTTTTCATTCCTCTCCCCATAAATCAGGTTACCTGACAGTCATTCTCCAGTTTAGCCCTGGGGAAAATGGGCGGCAAATTCCACTTTGGGAAAGAGGGTGATACAATATAGGGAAATTGCAGAAGAGACAGGAGGAAGGGAAAAGAAAGGAAGGGAAACCCACACTTTCCCGGCTTAATTGAGTATAGGAAGAAGGGAATGAGGTGGGAAAAAGGAAGGTCACCCATCTGTAGGCCTCTAGGCTCATGTTCTAGAAGGGAAGACATTAAAAAGGCTGAAGACAAAGCCAAAATCTAAGGGACTTGCTTTCGTCTCATTTGATGTATGAGATCTAGGAAACAACTGCCTAGAAAGAATGTTTCAACAACTCTCCTTCTCAAAGAAAGGGATGGCCCTATGATAGTAAAGAGCCCCCTTTCCTGAAAAGGTGGCCCCATCACAGTAAAGATTGATCAATGGCTTGAAATGGTGAGAAGGTAGGCTTGAGTTTGACTCTCCAAAGTATAGAAACATGATGTAGAACATATCCACAAGTTTCTATCTACCCTGTAGGGCACAGGAAGGAGGGTGAGTGCATGGCGCTATCAGAAAGCTGAGTTAATGGTACCAGCGGTGGGAGGGGACATCATTACAACTACCTAGTTCTACAGGGTGGAACTTCTAGGGTAGACCCTAATAAATACAAATAGCCACCTGTGAGGAAGCTACACAGTGCCAGGGATATGTCTATTGGGAGACACTGAAGTTGAAATGTTCAGCATAGGACACTAGCAGAATGCTAATGGTCAGGGTCAGAGCAGCTACTCCTCAGCAGACTCAGATACTATAAATCCAAGGATCAGTCTGAGACCAGGAGGCCCTCTTTGTGTTTCTACCAGCCCCTATTCAATCCTATAGACATCATCTTGTGGAGGGGTTAGGGAAAGGGAAGCAAATCTAAAAGACTGAATATTCATCCAAGTGATGGAGCCATCCAAATATAGCCTAAATTGGAAGAGGCTGTTACACTGTCAGTCATCAAGTTCGAACCTGCTTCTTAAGCCCCCAGCAGCAAATGGAGAGGAACACAGATGGGGGTGTGTGTGTGTGGCTAAGCTATTTTTGTACATTTGACTGTGGATTCAGGTTTTGTTTAATGGATATAGGTATACTTAAAATTAGCATGTGCAAACCACTTTCCTCCATCTCCAAGCGCCCATGGAAAATGACTTCTCTCATCAAGCATCATGAAGTAGGGGCTCTGGCATCTCAGGCAGATCACTGATGATTTAAGTTATTTTATATCTCTAACATTTAGTTTCCTAATCTATAAGGCAGGTTTGATAATAATGGCTCCACAGTGCTGCTGTAGTGTTAAGTGCATTTAAAGCACTTAACACATTGATGGCATACAGCAAACCTCATTAGTGGCAGATGTTATTATATTTAAGTAATATGTTAGGCATGCCCTAAAATGTTCGTTTATTCATGGAACACTGACAACTGGCTTTCTTATGTAGTAAGAGCTAGTAAAACAAGAAGACCTCAAAGAACCCCAGGGTTGTGAGTAAGCAAGGTAAAAACAATTGGCAATTATAACTAGAACGTAACTACTATGGTATCACACAGGGTAGTATGGGACCATAGAAGATAAGCACTGCACACTGGAAACAGGGAAGTAGATTTGAAGAGTTTCCTCAGGTCACCGGTACCCAGCTTGGATGAGTAATAATAGTAGTAGCCTTTCCTGTTTCCTTCCTATGCAACAGAACACAAGTTCCCTTAGGAAATGGGCTCCAAGTATTCTAATCACTGCTGTAGCTTAAGTTCTTAGAACAGGGCCTGGTAAGTAGTAGCTACTAAATGAATGTATAATTCACTAATCTATTTAACAAATATCTAAATTGATTCTCACAACTGCAATGAGAAAATTAAGTCTCAAAGAATAGAAGCAACTTGTCCAGGATTAAATTTCAGGGTTTCTTGGCCCTAAAGCTCACATGCTTAGCCATCAAGCTATGCTACCATTTAAAAGAGGAACAAGGGCTGGGAATTTAGCTCAGTGGTTCTGGTGCCTGCCTCACAAGTGCAAGGTCCCAAGTTTGACCCCTGGTACCAAAAAACAAAAACAAAAAACAAATAAAAGAGGAATAGTAATGCAAGGGGAAGATAACGCAGATATATTTTGTTAGAGGGAGAGAAGGGTATGACATATCTGGGAAACAGTGGGTTTTTTAGTATGGACAGAGAGCAGAGTACACAGGGGCGACAGGGCAAGAGCAAAGGGGAACAAAGGTTTGTGGCCAAACTGAGGAACCGGACCTTAGTTTTGAAGATGATCTGGAACCATGAAGTGGTGTAGGAAGGGAACTGATAATGAAATATATATCAAGAAGGTGTGATGCTGCCAGCAGTATGTATAATATAGTGAAGATGATAAAAAGGAGTCAAAAAGTGATAAAGACCTAAAGTAAAACAGAGGTCAAGGGTTTCTAGAGGAAAGTACAAATTTGAGATATTCAGAGGGTATTACTTTTGGGATCCGGTGACCAATTAGGTGTGGGCATAGACATGGGTGGGAGTTAAGGGTGGGTAGCAAAGGAGAAAGAGGCATCCCAAATGGATCTCAAGTTTATGCTTGGATGACCAAGTGGACAACAGTATCTTTATGCTTGGATGACCAAGTGGACAACAGTATCATTTGTCAATGTTAGGAATACA